GATGGAAATGGTGAAAGGAGCCCTTTTTCCAGGGGTGGACACACACACACACACACCTTGTCAAGAAAGGAACTGTATGGACCATGAGAGCCCGCTCATGTGTTTGTCGCCCGCTCGCCTGCAAAAAGGAGCCTTTGCGTAAGCATTTCCCTTGGGAGTATGGTTCTCAATGGTTCTCATGAGTTTGTGAAAATGCAGATGCCGTAAGATCTGCGTAAGGTCTTCTTCAACATCCGTGGCGCGTAAGCTCACATTGTGGTCCCGTAAGTAAAGCGTAAGCAGGAGCGTAAGAAAGTTATACGACATAGTGACATAGGGGTTTAATCGTATTTGGCCCGGCTCATTTAGAACTAGAAAGCAAGAACACAACATGATATCCTTGGCTCAATCTAGAGTCAGGGATAATGTATGCTATGGGACTTTCAGGCGGGTACGTAAAGGAACGTCACTGCGCTTCCAGGCGCCAGGTATTCTTCTTTTTCGTGTGTAAATTACCCTCTAGTTTTTTTACACATGCCTGAAAGCGGTCGAAATACCAGATGCCAGCTTTCCGAGTGCACTCAGCCAGGATTCTCTCCTGTCAGAGTCCTTCTGTACATGTACAATGTACTGATGCACTCGGAGTTTCAACCGTAGATTTACATCGGAGTCCCCCCTTTCTTGGATTTCCGATCAAGATTGTGAAACTGGAAGTTCTTGATTTGCAACCACTCCCATCTATTTGCTGCGTGCTTGCTACTTCGCTAAGCTTCTTGGGCAACTCTTTCATTTCTGCAATCTCACGTGTGAACTCTTTATTCTGGTGTGACACTTGATGGCAATCAATCCCAAGAGACTAAGTGGCCTTTCCGTCTAAGCCAGCGGGTTCAAGTTCAATGTTCATGTTTGCGAGCCAGCGGACAAAAGGACATACTGCTGCAAAACTTGATGGTCTATAACAGTCTATAACAATCTTCACGTGACATCAATAGGGAAAGTTCGTGAGAAACAAACGTCATTGTCCCCGCGCCCACCCCATCTTCAAAATCGAAAAACGAAAAAGAAAAACACCCGGATCTTCAATAACGGCACAACACCACCAGGCAATTGAGCATACAGGCAGCAGCAATTATATACAGGAGTCCTGATCTCTATTTAGGGTAGTGCAGCCCAAAATTGGAAAGACACGTATTAGGGAGTTGAGAAAGACATGGGGCAATGGAGCTACAGAATTATGCAATCACACACAAACACATCATACTTAAAATACACGTATATACTTATACACTGTACAGCAAGCTTTTTGTTAGACATTTTATGAAGGCACTTTCTGAAAGATGTATATATATAGCTCGATTTAGGAAGTGGAAACCATATGTGTTTGAATTGCCTTTGTGACCGTAGCTAGCCCAACACCTTCAGTTGGTGTAGAGTCCTTTGGACGCAAGTGGTTACGAGACCTTTAGAGTGCACATGCCTCCAGGAGCGCGTGAATCGAATCTGAACATATCCGCCATTCATGCCAATGCCTTCTCAGACAGTTTGTCTTATTTTGCAATTGTTTGCCAGATCCAAGACGCCCTGGTTGCGAGGATGGACAGCAGAAACTGTTTCTAGTGGCATACTGAGCATTGAGAAGTGCTAGGGCTGCTCCTGCAGGGCCAGTCCAAGTGTCATGGTTTGCTAACAATTTGCCGCTGGTTTGCCATTGACGTCCTTTATCCAAATCATAGAAAAAAAGCATGTGGCATATAGATGGACAGTTCTATCACGAAAGACTAAGACACTCGTCCTAGGCAACAGTTGAAGACAAGATCGGGTTGAAAGAGCCAAGAAGGAGACGGCCTTAGTTCTTCTGCTACCTCTTGCCTTTGAAAGCCTAGGCAGTGGACTCAATGTTGATTCCCTTACTACTACAAGCAAGAACGTCATTTGCAAATAGGATCAAATAGGCCTCAATTAGGTACACAAAGAGTTACAGTATATAGTTTAAATAAGATTGGTCCTTTGAATCCTTGGCGATGGCTTGAACCCAACTGAGGACCTTAGCCAAAATTCACCAGTCAAGACACCTTGTAGCTGAGGAAAGTCGATCTTTCAGGGTTCGAAGAGAATCAATGGCTGAGCGGTGAGCCTGGCCTTGCCAGACTTTTCGCGTCCTTTCAGACATGAAGAACGAATGCTTCCGAACTAAACGGAATATATTCAAAATTGAAACTACTTGCTTGTAGTGACAACATGCCAATCTCTACGCATGCTGCAAGGCATCAACTCAAACCACGTCACTTGAGCGTGCCAGGCAAAGTGTCACGAATTCTCCCGTTTGGAGCTTTCGTGCAAGTCACATCACCTGAAGGAGAATCGGCCGAAGGTAGGGCTTCTATGATCTTCTATGGATCTCAGTAGAGGCAATTTTGGATTTGGTTTGTTTGGCACCGACAGTTTGAGGTTTGCTGCACATCCGAGAGATTCGCGAAGGCTTCATTGCGAACCTTGAGGACCTTCCTTCAAGAATCTTGAGGTGGTTGAGTCCTGTGTCTCTAGTCTTTTTGAACCTTTCATTGAGTTTGTTTGAAGTCGTACTTGTGATGGTCTTGGAGCCACAGAGCTGCCTCCACATAGGATGAACTTGGCTTGGGTCAGCACATCAAGGTTCAACAATCTCAATGTATTTCACAAAATCTCAGTTTTAAACTGCACAGTTCTTGTTTTGCCAGCATGCCTTTGTGACAATATCAAAGGTTCCTTACATTAATTTTCATTTGCGTGTGGAGATGTCGCTTGTGCCACTTTGGAGCGGCCTTCCATTATGACAGGTGCGCGTAAAGTATCTGAACAAGGACGAAGGTGTGCCCAAAGCTCGGAACAATACTGTGGGAGTCCGTGCCGTGCCAAATGCTTGCCCTCAAGATGAGCTTCAAAAACTAGAAAAGTTGTGAAAAGGTCTTGATAGAAGTTTGGCCCTATTTCTCTCCTAAGGCTGCAGCTGTCCATGATGGAATGATTTGGAACGAGCAGAGAGGCAGCAGAGCCTGAACGGCTGTGCTGGAAGAGCTAGGTTGCCCTCCCACGTGTTGGGCGGAGCTTCAACGCCTTGGAGACGATCGGAGCGGAGCCTATTGCAGCGACGTTCTGCGTTCGGCGTTCCTCGTTGATACTCTTCGTGAAGTTCTGAAGCTTCAGCTGCATAGGTCCAGAGAGGGAACTGCTGGGAAAAGCACATTGTGTTTTCAAGGGGGGGTAGGCCGCTAGTGGCTATATAGGTAGAGGTAGCTAGTAGCTACAAGAACGCTACTACATATGGACGCAGGATTGCTCGCGCTTCTTCAAGGAAGCTCCCCCCCCGCCTCCCTAAAGGCGGCGGGGGAAGCTTCCTTGAAGAGGCGCTCGCACTAATGATTTGGTTCCTGGTTTTTTAAGGGAAACTTAAGGCGGACAAATGACATCGTTGAAAAGCTTGGCGAGCAAACCAAAGTCTTTGCAAATCAAAGCCTTTGGCTCAAGAAGAAACAACAAAGCCACATTGCAACATGGCTTCCAAATCCGGTCCATTGGAGCTGAATAGTGAAGTGCAAAACTCAAAACACCGAATGCTTGACTTAGTTGATGATTGATTTGTCCCAACGTGTAGCTTAGGCCCGCTCAAGCATGCCATTGTATATGGGTTGATTTTAATGAATTATCATGACGTCTTAACAATCTATTTTCATATTTTTCCGGACACTTTCCAGGCCTGTCATGTTGATGAGTCCGTCCAAGGTCCTGTGGTTTACTTGCTTAGTCACGCCATCGTTTGCCGTGCGCAGATTTCGACTCGGTGCAATGAGGGGCAGCCTCTGCCCTGGCCCCAGTGGGTTAATTTGGACAAACACCTAGTTAAGACCCATCTTCCCAGAGGATATTGCCTCATAAACTCGGAACCTGAGCTGTAACGGCTTATACTGTGCCTCCCCTGAAGTGCTTGCGCTGGTCCAGCTATGTCTAGCTACCTGCCAGCTGCCTACCCTCCCACAACAGCCTACTGGCCGAATTATAGAAAGAACACAACGAACTTCTATTTGAACGCTATTAGGTCGGAGGCCATCGCTATTAGTAGCTCAAAAAAAGCAAATCTTCAGTCAGTAGAGTAGTGAATTTGCTTAGGTCATTTGCATCGCTTGCATGATAGCACCAGTCAGGACTTGATCTGCCCAAATTTGTGTGTGTGTGTGTGTCATCCGGGTCTTAAACTAGACTAGGCTTTGAATACCTTGAGGAAACGCGTGAAAGCCAAAGGCGATCACGTTGTGAACTCAGATGACTTGAGTAGCTTGGTCTTTTTTCATCAGCCGCTAGTGAAAAGTGCAATCAAACGATCAAAAGCTATTCAAGGGACGACCTAAGCCCAAGCATAGTGGTTGGATTGGCAGAAGATTGCGTAAGTCAGTTTCTTGTTGTCAGCCATCCTGAGGACTGCTTTCCGTGTACCCTGCAGAGAATCGTTATCATAGTTCTTGCTGCAGTCCCGAGCACAGCTGCTTCCATAGGTGAGATCAATCTGTCGCATTTGACGTGTTTGTCATTGTTCTTGTAGAATGGGTGATTTAAATCTACTTTCAGCTGTTGCAGGCTGTGCAGCTATGCTAAGATATTAAAGAACAGGCCATAGCCAACTTGCATTCGCTTTGCAGATTGGAACTGTCAGGTCCAATGGAAGGTCAGTCCAATGGAAGGTCAGTATAGGGGTAGTGACCGGAAGGATGCAGCCTCCTTTTGAGGACAAACGAGTTGTGTTCTGTAACAACCTCAGCAGCTCGTTTAAGGCAAATTTTGTGGTTTGCATTGCCACTGTTTGCCTGGATCTTGGTGCAGTCGGCGTGGCCCACATCAGGACAGCAAAGTAGACTCTCACAGCCGGGGCAAGCAGTGACATATATTTTAAGCATCTTTACCTTAAGGACTTAAGAACCACGAATACACACACACATATATATATAATACTCGTACCCACATTGACTAGTTAATTATATTTATTTGTCAGATGGTATCGCAGCGGCTTGCACCTGGGTACTCAAAATATGTACAGTTCTGACACTGTGGCGGGACTGACATTTTTCTTCGTCCGCTTTTTGCACACTGCTTGTCTCCCAGGTTGGAGAACATTCCTACAAGGTTTGAACTGCAGCGCATGGGTTGACTGACATGGATCGCTTCACTTACTCTCGGGGCTTTGATCGAAACCTGATTTACAAAACGTATGAATTGTATGGCATGGTGTGTCCATATTATGTGTTCATTGGATTCATTGCACTGTCGTCTTCCGATTCATGTCACTACTTGAAAGACCGACCCGCTTGGCGGGGATGTATCTCTTGTTGGGAGATTAATGTACGTAATTAGGCCCTCACATGAACCGAAACACCAGTGTATCCACCATCTCGCATCGCAGATTGTTAGGCTCAACTCGGTCCCTTCTTGCACTTTGCTGCAAGAATAGGATTCGTGCCTTATGCTCTTTATATGTCCACGAGTGCTTCATCCAGGACTGTCTTGGAAAGCAATATCCCCAATTACAATGTGCATTCTGTCGAGTCGAAGGCGCACACTTCGGTCCATGCTCGCAAGAGCTGTATCAGTTTGGAAGTTCCGGAATTTCTGCAGTTTAGACCTTGACTTAATTACGGCGAAACAACACATGAGACAGCTTGAGCTTTACTTAGAGTTCTAGGTAAGGATGAGTTAAAGTGGTGGGAACAGTGGTGGTTTGGAGCTCCTTAGGAACAGCAGGTGACACACACACACAAACAAGCACACCATTTGGCCTTTCCTTAGCATCTCTGCTGAGTGCTCAGTCTGCTGGCAGCAAACTTGCATTTTCTTGAGGCTACTTTCGCCAGTTGTGGCGGCAACCTCCTTTTGATGAAGATTGGCCCTCAGTGACACCAATCTGTGGATGAACCCTCGGATGAGCTTGCATGTTTTGCTTCTTGTGGCCTCGCTTCCCAGGAGTTCAGCGATATCGATTTCTCCAGACTATACGATAGACCGGAGCATTCAGGACATCTCCAGTGGGACTCTGCAATACACATGTCTGGTTGCAAAACTGTGGCTGTGAAGGACCCGTTCCCGGTCCGAGTCAGCAGCATTCCTCAACTGGAAAAGATCTGGAAGCGATGACAGAACGTACAACCAAGGCACTTTTGGAGTCTTTGGAGATTTACAATGTTTCTGTTGCCAGGCGTTCTAGAACACACATATTGTGAGTTGTACTGTCTATCTCCACAATGGATTGGCAGGCGCCAACTCCTGAACTTCGCAGCACAGATGCCACAGAGTTTGTTCCACCTGCATCACGAGCATGTGCAGCTGCTATCTTAATTCAGTCTACTCTCAATCCGCGGATATATATACTTCAGTTCAGCTCTAGCTAGTGTGGAAAAAAGGTGGACGAGAAGAGTATTTTTGATGTATGTGCCAGGTCCTATTTGTGGGAACAAGCTCCAAGGTCCAATGCAACTCCCCAAGAAGCATCAAGAAGCTCTTTGATGCATCATCATCCGATTAGACATGTTTTTTGGAAGATGAGGCCAACATCACTGAGAGGTCCTACACAAAGCTTGGCACTTAGAAGTTGATTAACGACAATACAGTAGATGATCAGTCTTACACTTGTTAAACCACTTGGTATTGTATATTGAGCTGAGTAGTATACTTGTTTCCAAGACTAACTGATCTACATACTGAGTTGCAGATATACAATATGACTAAATGTGTGCAAATACATTACAACTAGTCCGAAGTCATGTCCGATCGGCCAAAAGCCCCAAGTTTGGTATCTACAGTCTCAGTCTCAAAAGGACAGGCTCTTGAAGACTAGGAGACTGTAGGAGGAGGACAGGGGCAAGAAAGATCAAACAAAGTCAAGGACACTACAGCAGCATATGTAATATAGGTAGTGAGTGTGTGTACACATAGATATAAATATATACTGTATATATATATATGTGTGTTATATCAGCTGCGGTGAGGTTGTACATGGAAAGAGCTCCAAGACGTGTTCCTCTCCGATTTGGTCGGCACTGGTCCAAGCAGGCCTCGGATTTTGTTGTCCATCCCCGGTCCAGAGGCTCAAGATGTTTCAAGTGCTCCTAGTAGCGATGCCAGGAGCCAGGAGCCCCTAGTAGCGTCATACATAGCGGCGTAGCTTTTCTTTAAAGTGCTGGATTACCATGGGTTCTCTTTTTGGTGACAAGCACGAGTGCAGGCTTTCGGACATGAAGGACTTTTGCATCGAGTTTGGCCACCTCTGCATGTTTGGTTATGGTCAGCAGGGTTTGCACCACAAAGGGACCACAAAGCAAGTACAAGGCTGACCTGCCTGAATGAAAAATGTCACTTGTCCAGGTCCATCCTGTGGTGGAGTCACTTGCTCTTTCTCTCCCAGAGGCATTGAAGAGGCCATATTATATGATGACCGACAGATTGGTCGGTCGAGCAGTTAGCAGTTGATACCACTCCTCGAGATGCACTTCTGGTTGCTCACCACTGTTTGAGGGAAGCCGAACTGTCGGAAGTGCTTGGGTGTTTGGGCTAACGAGAGCTCTACTGTAAATTGCATATAATTTTTTCGCCAGGCCATGTGCACAGCAAGGCTGGATGAACTGGAAGCCATAGCTAGGTGATAAGGGCAGTCGTATCATTGATGTTGACATGTGACTAAAGTATGACTACTCTTTTTGCTTTTTCTCAGGGCTTCACACGCACCCAAGAAGTCACCGACGAAGGAAGTATCGCCAGAAGCTGAACAAGAGAATCCGTAACATCGGTGACATTTCAATAGCGTTCTTGCTCCTAGTAGCGATGCCAGGAGCCCCTAGTAGCGTCCTTGTTACTAGTAGTACGGCCAGGAGCCCCTTGTAGCGTCCTTGTTACTGGTAGTACGGCCAGGAGCCCCTAACAGCGTTCTTGCTCCTAGTCATCAAAAGCCATGACTAAGACATGTGTCTCAGATTCCCAGCCTGGTGT